CAACAGAGTTTAGGGTGTGGGTATGATGTAACTCACGGTTTCCCATAAAAGTAATCCAGAAATGACGCTTAATTAAAACGCTGTACGCCACTGGATTTTCTCTTCTTTGTGTGTGCATCCCTCTGTGCTGACAAACATGTACACAAAACTGTTATTCACACACGGTAGCTTTGTGACGGAGAGTTAAACGCTGGATCAGGGAGTTGTCCCGACTTAAATAAAAAAGGTGTGTGTGTTGATGTTAGTTCAAACACAGTTTCCACTTCTGTTATTTTCCTATTACATAACTTTTTTTTTTTGACTGCTATTGAATATTAACTTGCATGTCGGTGCCGGTGTAGCATTAACAGACACAAAACACGTGCATCTATTGAAAAAAAGCACAGTATTTTTACTGTGCGTCCACTCCCTTGGATAGAAAACAATAAAAAAAAGGCACCAAACATTTACACGACTTTCACGATTCGGCAGCCGCTGTGAATTTTTCCATCTAACAGCAACCACGAGTATTCCCCCCGAATCACAGTTAATGTTTTGAAACTCCAAAACATACTTTAAAGTGCTACTCCAGCAAAGGTGGGACACTTACAACAGACAAAATTGAGTGCATTCACTTGGTTCGCTTAAAGTAAACTTGTGTCCCAAAGTGCTTCACAGTCGTGGCCCAAGTTGCTTTTTCCACGCTGCAGCTCCTTATCGACTTTCTTTAGACCTGTCTGGCAACGGAGGCTTTCTGTTATAAATGTGTAGCCTGAGAGTCCAAATTCAGTGGAATCCTGATGAAATCATCGAGGTTACCGACTCCCTCCAGAGCTCCAGAAGAGAGCGGCGGTCCTATAATAGCAGCAGAAGTACACCTCATGACAGCTGAACTGACTGTAACACAGAACTGTCCTTTTAATTTTGACGGACTTGCAATGAAACTCCATCTGTAAGTTTTGTCAGCAATAAAAGAGAGACTTTTTAAATAGATATATATACAATAAGGTGTGATTAGAACACTATGTACTCATAGGACACGAGTTAAATCAAATAAAGTCACGTATCTTGTTATAGAAAATAATCCCAAACCTCAATTTGTCTTTAAAGTGCTTTATAATCTGTACAAATATGACACTTTCCATTCTTAGACCATCAGCTTAGATAAGGAAAATCTCCCAAAATAAACTTTCTAGCAGGAAAAGAGCACAAGAAACCAGTGGAAAAGCAACAAAGGGGCAAATCCCTCTTTCGGTGAAGACAAACATGCAATAAAAGTACAAGAATTCATGGTACTAGAAGTAATATTTTGGGATTTTCTGACAAGTAGACCATGAAGGAAATACATATCCTGTGTCCTCTGCTCAGTCCTTTGTTGCTTTCCAGTCAAACACCATAAACGTGACTATTTCACCGCCTTCGTCAAACTGTCACAGATGATCTAAACCTAAAAATAATCTGCTGTTTGTTACTTTTGCCCCGGCAACGAGCGATGTTGCATTTAATGCCTAAAACAGATATTAATAGACCTGACATGAGCAAGAAATAAAAACAGGACGTTGTGAGTGTGCAGTTTGTGACTCAGCCTGCTGATCCAACCTACATCTGTCTGCACTAAAACCGCCCCGACCGCAGCCGTTACTCCATTACATCAGGACACTCCCAGTGTGTTCCAAGAGGCTATAGTTGCTCGGCACTTACTGTCCTTCTACACCTATGTGAGAGATGGATAAAAGCCTGATTAATATCGCACATGGACGCACGCCCACAGACACACACACCTGTAAACTTAGACGCACGAAGCTTGGAAACAACGAGCACCTGCGAAAAGACGCGCATCTGTGAGGAACTGCGAGAAACCGTGGCTCCCAAAACGGACTGTGTCGCCCGTCCGCCCACCAGCCCGCCCACCAAACGCTGACTCCAGCAGAGAAGCAGCAAAGTCGATCATTTGTCAACTTGTCTGGAAGTTAAAACACAGATAACAACCTTTTCTTCAACGCGAAAGACGGTCTTTTAAAATCGATTAAATTGACACCAGTGGCTCATTTTTAAAAAATGGATCATGATGGGAGAAAGCACCGACTGTGCTGTAAGTCAGATACAGGCGATAAGCGCTGAAGGCCTTTGACATGAAAAGAAAACCGCAACCACTTCTTGATAAATGGAAGAAGGAGGATGCAAACAGAGAGGCCCCTCGCTCTCTCTCCTCTAAGTGTGAATTTACTAATTTCCCCCCTGTGGGTTGAGGCTCTTGGATAAGTTTACACACGGAGTCCATGTGAGACTCGGAGCGAACCCAACATCATGTTTCACACCAGGAAAGCATTGTTCATCCATGATGAGGAGCAAAACACCATCAGATGCTTTATCTCTTCAGTTCAGACTGAAGAAAAGCTCAAAAATAGAACAGAATCACGTGCTGTTTGTCTTTTCTAACAGAGCTGCAATGTGCACCGGAGCAACTAATACCGTCTTTCAATATCAATTCATTATTTTTTCAATTAACCAACTAAATAAATAAAAAAGAATATCTTTGTGATGTCTTTACATGTCTTTTATGATCTAAAACCATAACATTTTGTGCATTTTTGCTTAAAAAATACTCAGCTTCTTAATTCTTTCTTTTTTCGATCAACAAAGTGATTAATTGTTGCAGCTCTAATTATTTCCCTTAATAAGCAGATCAAGTATCAGCCAGATGTGATCAATGCACAATGAAATAAGTGTTTGCTGACATTCCTTACAAAATGTAACCTCTATTTAGACGTATGGAGCCACCAGATGTAACAGAAATCAATTATTAACGGCCTCATCAATATATTTTTGCAAGCAGTTGCTATTAAACCAGTTTGTTTTTTTTGAAGATTTTCAGATTTTAGGAAAAAACAACTCGAGTACAGATTAGTATTCAGCACTGGCAGAATTAATATAGAGAGAAAAGCCAGACTGCTGCATCGCTGTAATTCACAATGGCACAAAAATACAGAAAAGCAGAAAATCTTCATATTATAGCAGCCAAAGCCTGAGGCACTCGGGTGTTTTTGCACAACAAATGATGAATCTAGTTATTGAGCATCATAATTGTTTTCGGTTTATCAAAAAAAAAAGAGAAAACAAATCAGTAATTTCAATCTAAAGTCTGTCGCTGATGGGCTTTTTGATTGCTGGTGTTTGTAGGTGTTCTGAGGGTCTGTAGCCGGAGATGCGACACACACACACACACACACACACACACACACACACACACACACTCACACACACACACACACGCATGCACACAAACTTCCACATTCCACACAGTTCATGCAGAGCAGTTTTTGTGGCCTTCCAAGAGTCAGTGTGTCCAGCCGGGCTCGAGTTACAGCAGACAAGATCCTCTCGTTCCTCCCCTCACACACACACACACACACATTCAAGCATCAATCATCTTACAAATTCATCCAGCGAGCAGGCAGCGAGCAACAAGAGAGCATTGGTTTGCTGATCCCCCTCTCTGACTCATTCCTGTCACTCTGCACCGCGTACAGGAGAAAGAAGAATAGCCTTGCAACAGAAAGACTATATTTTAAGTCCTGGATTGTCTGGATTGCTTAAAGGTCCTTTAGAAATCCATCTTTAGGAGTGTCTGCGGCGGTGACGCTTTGACACCCGGGGTGCGACGGAAAAAGAAGAACAAAGCCCGGGATTCTCATCTCAAGCTATAGTGAGAAATAACTTATAACAATAAAAGCTGGAGTGCGGTGACTAATGGACTCTGTTCAGGTTCAACAGCCGCTTGAATCAGCAGCCTGACAAACACCTGCGTAGAAAGCAGTTTCAACTAAATGAATTCGACTGGATGGAGCAGGAAAAAAATGATGAAACAAGTAAAGGACACATGTATCAGTGTCACAGCATCAAGGAGAGAAAACACACTCCAACTGGAGCGCACAGCAGCAGTTGTTGAGAGTCCATCAATTTGCGGCGCTTTGACATCAGGCGGATTTGCTACAGCGACCTTTTTACATGGTGCAAAATCAAAGCAGCGAGGTCATTATGAGTCATTTTTAAAAGGAAAAGACATGAAGAGGTTTCTCAAAGTGTGTGTGCATGTGTGTGTGTGTGTGTGTGTGTGTGTGTGTGTGCGTGCTCCACATCTATTCTAGGAGAATTCCAGAGGGGAGACCCTGTGACCGACCCCCACCTCGCAGGATCTGACAGGATATCACCACTCGGCCGCTCACACACACACACACACACACACACTCGTACGTGCACATACACACAAACAAACACATTATGGAAGTGTTGGAGGGCGTTCGCATAGAGCGGTGACAAACTGCCAGCATATGTGTGTATATACACCTAAGTTGTTGGGTTTTTTTCCTGCCTCTGAGTTTAGAAATAAACATACTTATCTAATACGTTGTGCTCTTAGACTGATTAATAGGAGGCTGGTGTGCAAAATACACCAAAGCAAACAATGTGCACACTACATAATGTCATTAACTAGCCAATATTATTCTCATATTCTCCAGAAACGTGACAACAAGCCAAACATAAACACTCAGATTTGAGCTACACACACTGTAAAAAGTGCATCAGAGCTGCAGTTGAATTAAAACACAAGTCATTTCTCTTCATGCTCTGGTGATAGGGTTTACTTCTGTGGATTCTATCACCTTGAAATCAGGCTTTGCTGAGATTAGAATGGCAATTTAGGGCTACAAAGGTGGGAACTACTACTTTTTAGCATCATTACATCCACGTTTCTTCATATTTTACTGCTGCAACTGTTCAGTAGGTCCAACGACAAGGCCCTGTTGTACATGTACATTAAGATAAAGCAGATATTTAATTGGAAAAACCCTCAAAATTGATTGCAAACTGTTTACATGGAAGGACTCATTCAACTTCAACCAGCAGCACTACTTGTTCATTCGGATCAGCTTAATTTTTTCCAGTACCTTCAACCCAGCTTACAAAATTGCCCTTAAATCTGGGAGTTAAGTTGACTTGAGTGAAGGAAATCCAGCTACCTGAGCGCTTCAGGACCTTTCCTCTAAGGTTTCACTCACATGAGCCGTGGCTACTTTTTGCAGCCTGCAGGTTCAGGTTGCTGCTCCCCTCTCTTCCTTTAAAGATCCGCTGCAATCTGCAAACTCCAAACTTCCTTTTTCACGCAACTGGAGGATCCCCCACCAACCACACACACACACACACACACACCAGACACACAATGTGGAAGGACACGCGCACACGTACGCACCTTTACGCGCAGCAGTACTTGAATAAACACGCCCTGGCTACAGCTGACGGTACAGGCGACATCCACATTTACGCGTGAGCCAGCGAGCAAAACGATAAAGTTTCCAAAGAGACAGCAGAGATCATTTAGACACCATCGCCTACCTTCTTGTTCTTCTCCCTCTTTTCCCTCTCTTCCACTCCTCCTCCTCCTCCTCCTCCTCCTCCAGCCGTCTCCAAACTCTGTCACGACGAGGCTCGACGCAGACTGCGAAATCAAACAGCCGCTTTTTTTTTTTTTGTCGGTAACCGGGGGAACAGCAGAGAGATACTGAGGTTTCTTTCTTTCTTTTTTTTTGCTTCAACACGCTCGGTGTGTGCGTGTGTGAGTGCGGGGTGGGAATATGTGAGTGTGACAGCTCATGGAGAGAATGAGCAGAGAGAGGAGAACCGGGGAACTTAGGGGGAGTTCCCGTTAACAGACCGGCGGGGCGGGGGCTCCAGCAGAGTGACAGGCTGGCCAGATTTCTTTTTCTTTTTTTTTTTTCACAGCTCGTTTGTGCAGTCTGTGGTAGTATCAGAGCTGCAAAAAAAAAAAACACATGCATTCATACCCAAGTGTTGTATTTGCACTGCATTATCCCAACTTTATGCTTGTGGCTGCATTTTTTTTTCTCCAACAACAAATAAGATCATTAAATATACACTCATAACTCTGTGCTGCAGCTGTTCTCATGATAAATCTGCTAAAAAAAAAAAAAAAATTAAAAAAAAATCTCAGCTGATTAATGTTTTTGTTCCTGCATTTATTTTTAAAAATAAACTAGTGTTAAAGCTGGCAATAATTTTCATTATCAATCTGCTGATAATTTCTCAATTAATTAATATTTTGAGCTAGCATGCAATTAAAAAAGTAAATATATCAGCGCTACAGTTGGCAATTATTTTAATTGTTAATCTGCCCAAAATGTCTTGATTTAATAAAAATTAAATAAATTAGCTGACAGTTATTTTAATGAACAATCTGCTGATAATTTCTCAATTAATTAATATTTTGAGCGAGCATGCAATTAAAAAGTATCAGTGCTACAGGTGACAATTATTTTAATTGTTAATCTGCTGAAAGTTATTTATCTTTTGTTTTAGGTGTGCAAATTTAATTTAAAAAAAATTAAATAAATTGCAGCTGACAGTTATTTTTTTTAATGAACAATTTGCTAATCATTTTTCAATTATTTAATATTTTTTGCTCTCACATGCAAATTTAAAAAATAATGTAAATACAACAGCGGTGACAGTTATTTTCATAATCAATCAGTTGAAATAGTTTTGATTTATTTACCTTTTGTTCTAGCATGCAAATTTAATAAAAATTAAATAAATTACTGCTGCAGCTGACAATTATTTTTAACAAACAGTTTGCGGATCATTTCCCAATTAATTAATCTTTTGCTGTAGTATGCACATAAAAAAAATAATTAAATTGGTGCTACAGCTGACAGTTATTTTCATTAACGACCTGCTGAGACTTTCTCAGTTGATTGATGTTTTGTTCCAGCAGGCAGTTAGTTTTTTTTGTTGTTTTTTTATGTGAAAAATGTTAGTTGACTTTTGCCAAAGCCCATTTTCAAATGTTTAAATAACTGTCAAATCCCAATTGTATTTACTTTTACTTTCCTATAAAACAAAGAATACACAGAAGCAGCCATATGTTCTCTTTTTAAAAAGCTGTGGATTTTTTTTTTTGACATTGTCACTCAAAGCTTATTTAAATGAGTCAGACTATTGGTTCAGCAGCTCCACGAAAGACAAAGACAAAGAATGCGTTTATTTTTTCTGCTGAGAAACAAAAAGGAAGAACAGATGAGACGCCGGAGCAGAAAAGTCCAAATAATCTGAGAAAACAGTCAAACTGACAGAGAAATGTTCTCATTTTAATAAGGAATGAAACAACAAGGTGAGAACAGAACTGCTTTTGTTTTTATTCAGAAAAATTTACCTGCTCATGAAAAACCCTTCATAAGTTAACATTAAGAAAAATGTCCTAATTTTATTTTATTTTTTTAAAGAAAAAAAAGAAAAGTTTACTTCATAAGTATGGATATGATCATTTTTGTGACTCTGTGTAATATAAAAGTAGGTTTTCTTGAAAGGTTTTTTTTGCCTATTGAACAAAATAAGTCTCAAACTACGCCTGAAAAAAATGTCATTTAAATTAGGAAATATCAAAAAATCAATCAACAGGACATAAACCTTCTATACAATTTAGTTTTATCTTCCATCCATCCATTATCTGTTCACCGCTTAATCCTCACTAGGGTCATGGGGGGCTGGAGTCTATCCCAGCTGACTCAGGGTGAAGGCAGGGGACACCCTGGACAGGTCACCAGTCTATCACAGGGCTACACTTAGAGACAGACAACCAAGCACACTCACATTCACACCTACGGACAATTTAGAATCACCAATTAACCTCAACATGTTTTTGGACTGTGTGGGAGGAAGCCGGAGAACCCGGAGAGAACCCACGCTGCACGAGGAGAACATGCAAACTCCATGCAGGGACACGAACCGGCGACCTTCTAGCAGCGAGACAACAGTGCTACCAACTGCGCCACCCTGCAGCCCCTAGTTTTATCTTAATAAAAATTAATTGTTAGACACTGTGGTGTACGGCGGTTTAGACTTTATGCTGTAATGACACAGAGCACAACAGCTGCTCAGAGGAAACCTGAAAGATCTAATTACTACCTTCTGCTTTCTGTCACAATTAATGAATCCAATGAGGATTTTTTTTACTTCAGTCACAGATTTCATCATCACTTTCACTTTGTTGTTTATTCAATGTGTAGCCAGTTTTACACCAGATCTGCAACAGAGCATCCTTGCATCGGGGCCTGTGAGCAGCTTTTCGGGGTGCATGACATGAATAATTTGGGGAAACTGCACCGTTCACACCCCTGAAGCCTCTAATGATCCTGTAACAGCCGCGGTCTAAAGCGTGTGAGACTGGTGCTGCGGGCCACTTTCAATAATTGATGAATTATAAATGATCGAAGTGAAGTGTAGCGTTTTACGTCAGGCAGCAGGTATAGTTACAACTAATTTGGTGAAGTGCAAGACTTCTGTGCTCAAAATCTGTGTTTCTATGGAGACCAGGTAGTGGAGATCAGCGCGGACTGCAGATTGTGGAGTTTATAGATGTCGACAAGAAGGGTTGTTTTTTTTGTTTTTTTTCCAGCCAGTCAGGTGTCCACCCAAACAGGCCCCCCATTTTTCTTTTTCAATCCGTTGTGTTGATAGAAAGCGACTGAAATCCAGGAGGTTTGACCCGCGTGCATGACCTCTGTTATTAGATCCACATGGTTTATAGCGGCTGATGGCACTCCGGTGTCCTCCATCACTGCTTTAAAGAGTCGTTGAGGCTGCAGTTTTAGCAGATGACCCAAGAGGGAGAAAAATAGCTAAAAGGGGGGGAGATGCAGTCTGTGGTTGTGTTGCAGACGGTGTGAAGTTACAACGCTGATGAGTGAGAGTCAGACCCGCTGATGGACGATGTGCGGTGGATTTGATTTAAAGCAGCTCGTCCCACACACACACACACACACACACACTCAAACAAACACACGAGCTCACACCTAAGATTCGCCTCCAAATCCTCCTGGAATGTGTCTCCTGTAACAACATCAACTATCACAAGGTTTCGCGCCACATGACAAATAGTGCCGCTTTGTGTGTGTGTGTGAATGTGCGTGTGTGTGTGTGTGTGTGTTACGTTACCTTGTTCTGCCCACAGGGTAAAAATAAATGCACTCAATTAGAGGAGGAGCCAGCAGCGTTACAGGAAGAGGACCGGCCGCAGACACAACAACAAGCCTCCTAAACATTTTAGAACACTTAACACAGCAAGTTCCTGATGGCAGCACGAAGCAGAAGATGAGATTTTCCATCTCAAACCATCTCTGACTCGCTTGAACCTTTTTTTTTTTTTATCATAAACTATTTATATTCAAAATGGTATCTGAGGAACGTTAGATTGATATCAAGTACTTTCCATGATGTATATATTTTTAAAATTGCCTGTCGACCCACTTGAAGCATGTTTTGTTGAACATTGAACTCTGAGGCTGTTTGAATGATGATATCTCAGCGCCTATTGACAATAAAAGGTTCACTGTTATATTTCATTATGCCATTGATTGAGAATCTGCAATGTTGGACAAGTCAATCAGAAAATCTCTGATTATGCAAGAAATGTGGATAAAAAAAAATCTAAGCTGTCATGAGAAGTATCGTGTTTGAGCACGTATTAGCCAAAACAAATCAATCATGCAGAAG